AAAGTGCCTCTAAAATGCCTTTCCAGCTTCAAGACTTGAAGAGAAATTGTCGCACAAGCATTGTTACCCTTGGAAAATGATTTTGTGCACTTGTTACCATGAGTATACGGCCGTACACTCCTTGTCCATACACTCCTCCATGTGGCCGTACACTCCCCTTTAGTGAATCACACGTGATTCCAACACTTGGTCAAAGTGTTTCCTAGTCCTGTGAAGTGTTTCCTTGCATTTGGTTGCTTCTAAACGCTATATTTATGTCAATATATGCCATTATATGTCATTTAGGACTCGTTAAGTCTCGAAAGTTCATTCGTGGAGCTTCTCATCCTTACACGCGTATTCATTTGATTCACCCACATCAGGTGAGTTCATACCCCGTAATCAATCTTTTAAACTGCTTTTAAATGCTTTTAAGAGGGGGAATACAAGTTGAACACAATTGATAATTATGTAATTGTTTGTTAAAACATCTTTCAAAGGTTGCTTATGTCTTTAATAAGGTATTAAAACATTTCAAAATCTCTTTTAAAGTTATGTTACTTTTTAGTTTAACAAAACTCCATTTTTGAAGTACAAACATAACTTAGTAGTAAAATGAGTCTTTTCAATAACAGTTCAAGTAAAACACTAGTAAACTATAATGGGTATAGTTTAGAGAGTCAATTCATATTAGATACAATACACGATAACATAAAAGAACACACAATAAAGAGAAACAAGGAGGAAGATACAATACACAATAAATAGAAAGAACATACAAAGAAACTATAACAGAACAAACATAAGAAGGTGCTATAGCATGGGACAACTACATGATCTAAGTATACCAATGAATCACTAACGCATTATTCTAAACAAAAGGTGATACTTATATTGGGTATACATGATCACATAACTTTAATGTGAATTTACACGACCTGGCAACTCCTTTGCTGAAGTCGCGTTTGGTTCCCAAAATCTTTTGTTAGGGAGAGCGTTTGGTATGGGAACTAGCCTTCACATTATGACCATAATAAACAAACATGTTTTAAGGTAATTAGTACGATCAGTTTGTCAATTCATAAGACAACTGATGTGTGTAAAACGAACTAGTGTTAATCCTAACAAACTCAATTTTAAACAAACACACGCAGACAGTGTACCTATCGATAGTAGTTTAGTTCAAGCAAGTAGGGTATCGAACACAGGGAACGGTAACATCTAAAATTAATACTAATATTATCTAAAGAAAACAATTAATAAAATAGGGAGGGTTTCTCTAGTTTTGCAAGACTAGAAACTTTAACAAGCACTTTAAAACTCAACAAAGACAATTAACAACTAAGAAGAACAAGAAAGGACAACTAGATTCAATGATATAAGAGACTTTTGTTCAGATTTGATTCACGTATTCCTATGGTTGATTTCGTGGCAAGTGCAATGAATTAATATGTCAATGGTTACCGATTCCTAATGTGATTGGGTTCATGTTCATTATTACCAATCCTTTAGTAGACAAGTTAATTCAAACAATGGCCAGTTGATTAAACTAACAAGTTTCCTAGTGTTTAGTTCATGTCAAGTAAGACTTGTAATAATATCTAATCAAATTTGTTCAATTCAATCAACTCATATGTGGTTGTTCATCACACATGCTCACACATTGATTTACCTATTTTCTAGTTAACCCTAGTTTCATATTCATTATTCCCACGCATACAATCTTGTATTCACAAAACTATATGAATCAAGTAATCAAGAAGATGTTCATGCAACTTAATAACCCTAGTTTCATATTCATTATTCCGAGGCATACAATCTTGCGTTTTATTTTCCATCTTTATCTACAATCTTTAAGTATAGAACATTTTATTCATATATTCATTCACTACAGAGTTTAATAAAGGAAACAAGAAACACCCCCTTAGTTTTAATTACTTTACCGATCATCGAGCCTCCATGCAAAGCTTACAGCATAATGAAAAAAACAAAAAACCCTTATGAGGTAAATGCCAATTACGATTCTACCCATTTTCCTCTTGTAGCAATTGTCTCACTTTAATACTTCAAAACATTTGTTTTTGTGTTTCAACATATTATTGATAACATGAAAGATCCAAGCAGTGTTGCATTTTGGTTAATCACAATGCCTCAAATTATGGGAGGATTTAAATATGATGATGAGGTCAAACATAAAATATGATGGTAATACAAGGTTCTTCTTCTTCATATTTATTTATTTACTTATTTTTTAATTCAAATTTATTACAAAATTAAATAGCTTTTTTTATTGATATTAATGTTTCTTATTTAGAAAAATATGTGATATGATCAACTTCTTGATGCTATAGCAATGAGAAAACTTGGATGAGCAGGAAGTGAGATAAATTTATAATTTATTAACTTTAATGAGAAATTAATTAATTACAATTTTGTTATTGAATTTGAAATACAACATAGATTATATCAATGGATCCTGAACGTGCAAGAAATGATCCAGTGATAGCAAAGAACATATGTTATTATAAAACAAAGAGCAAATTAGAGGCAGAATTGATGAAGCTCTATCCACCACCATGACCTCAAAATTGTGTGTGTAGGAGAGGAGGGGGGGGGGGGGAATCAGTATAAACAAAAGTTTTCTCATTTATTTTTAGTAATTTACATATTTGGTCCCTTTATTTAGTTGTCGGTTTTGGTCCCTAAAAGAATCAGGTTGTAGTTTTTGGACCTTGTTTCACTGTTTCATAAAACTTTTATGATTGCCTAAGTTAACAGCCTAACTGTTAGTTTTTTTTTAAATGACCATTTTTCCTTTGAACCAAAACTAAAAAACATATAGCATAACAACAAATTATATATATATATATATATATATATATATATATATATATATATATATATATATATATATATTTCTTTTTTTTTACTTAAGTTTAGAATAAATTACATTTTTGGTCCTTGAGTATACCTGATTTTTTTTTCCAGAAGGTTCTAAGGGGTGTTTTTGGTATTTCAGGATCAAATGATGACTCTAGTTGAGTGCATACTTCTATTATACCGTGCATTCTTACCTGCCCATGTATGGTACCGATTCTTTTTGAACAAAGAATACGGGAGCCTATTTTCATCATTCACAACATGCTTATATTTAACTTTAAAGCTAACATCAATTGTTGAGAAGGTATATTTCTTATTCTTATTCTGTTACTACCGGAGGCATAAGAAAACTTTCTAATGAGGGCTCTCATATCTTTTGTATAATTCGTCTGTTATATTATGTCATGTCATCTCTTGTTTTGTCTATTGATTTTTTACAAAGGTATACACACACATGTAACATCATAATTTCATTATATATAACATCCAATTTTAACATTGAGTTTACTGTTTTCGAAAATAGGATCATAGTTACCAATTAAAAAGATAGACCCAAGAACCAAACACAACATTAAAAAACAACAACAACAACAACAACATTGTACATAGTATTCAACAAAGAACCATACGAATGAGTAAAAACATATAAATTCGTAAACAATATCAAATTTACAAATTAAAAGGATTTAAGGAAGAAGTACATACATTTATTCAACTAATCAGACTGATGGGAAGGTTGAACTTTTTTTTGCATTTGTTTTCTGCAGAGGAATTATGACATAATGTTTGTGAAAATAAATTATTAAAAAGGTTAGATATATATATATATATATATATATATATATATATACACACACACACACACACAAGTGAATATGATGAAAATTAGCAGGTAATCAATTGAAATCCCATTTAAACTTAAAATAGAAGATATCATGCTTCAAAGTGTATTGGTTCATAATAATATCCAAAACTTTTGAAATTTGAAATTAATAGTTTCCGAGATTTCAACATATAATATATTTGGAAAGCAATTTTGAATGGAAATAGAACCTAAATTTAAGGTTTACATTAATAAGGAACCAATTTTGTAGTTGTAAGTTTGGAAAGAATTCAAGTATGATTTTAATTCAATTCCTACATTTAATTTCCTAATATAACGGGTTGACTTCTTGTTGATCAAGGTGACGTAAGCAAATTGATCTAAGGGTGTAAAACCTATAAAGAAAACACAATCAACGGCTCAGATTGTTTTAGATGATGTCATAAGGTTTCTCTTTTAATAATATTTAGAGATTAGAGATTATAGAAACTAAAACAAGAACCAATTTTAACATCGTAATTTCATTATATATAACATCCAATTTTAACATTGAGTTTACTGTTTTCGAAAATAGGATCATAGTTACCGATCAAAAAGATGGAACCAAGAACCAAACACAACATCAAAAAAAAAAAAAAAATCAAAAACAACATTATACATCCAAATTATACGTATTCAACAAAGAAACATATGAATGAGTAAAAACATATAAATTCGAAAACAATATCAAACTTATAGATTAAAAGGATTTAAGGAAGAAGTATATACATTTATTCGACTAATCCGACTGATATGAAGGTTGACGTTTTTTTGCATTTGTTTTCTGCGGAGGAATTATGACATAATGCTTGTATAAATCGATTATTAAAAAGGTTTGAAATATATATATATATATATATATATATATATATATATATATATAATAATATATATATATATATATATATATATACAAGTAATATGATGAAAATTAGCAGATAATCAATTGAAATCTCATTTAAACTTAAAATAGAAGATATTATGCTTCAAAGTGTATTGGTTCATAATAATATCCGAAACTTTTGAAATTTGAAATTAATATTTTCCGAAATTTCAACATATAATATATTTGGAAAGTAATTTTGAATGGAAATAGAGACTAAATTTAAAGTTTACATTAATAAGGAACCAATTTTGTAGTTTTAAGTTTGGAAAGAATTCAAGTATGATTTTCATTCGGTTCTTACATTGAATTTCATAATATAACAGGTTGACTTCTTTTTTATTAAGATGACTTAAACAAATTGATATTAGGGTGTAAAATCTATAAAAAAAAAAAAAAAAAACAATCAATGGCTCAGATTGTTTTTTTTAATAATATTTAGAAATTTATAATTTGTAAGCATACATATACTCGCAACAAGAAAAGATATTTGTGAGTGTGAGCCACACATCTATCTTTTTCCACAAGAATCGTCAATCATGGCTGTTGAATTGTTGGAGACTCTGAAAGAAGCCATAACCGCATACACCGGACTCTCTCCTAATGCTTTCTTCACTGTACTCGCTGCCGGTGTTGCCATCTATTATGTCGTCTCCGTTTTGTTCGGAGGATCCTCCGATCATCAACCACAACATAGGCCCAGGTCTTTCGAAGAAGAAGTACAGCCTCTCCCGCCACCGGTTCAGCTCGGCGAGATTTCCGAGGAGGAGCTAAAAGCCTACGACGGCAACGATCCCGAAAAGCCTCTTCTTATGGCCATCAAGGGTCAGATCTACGATGTTTCACAAAGCAGGTATATCATCTGAATCTTGTTCTGACTTTTCTATATTCGATTTCTAGGTATTTAATTGGATTTTGGATCGTGAAAGAAACTTTATGAAGACTACTTTGGAACATGTTTAATTCCCCCTTTTTGATATTATTCATGCTTCACCTTTTGGGAGAAAAGCATATTTCGTATGAGATTACCATCTCTCCTCTTCTGATCGTAACACACTAACACTTACAAATTTAGCTCTACTCCAAAGTACTTACTTTGATCAAGTATACTAATAATTAGGGTTTTAACCATGATTTTAGGTGAAATTTACGCCTCTCGCCTATTAAATCATAAAATCAAAATTGATTTTATCAGGATTCTGGTAACGGATCCGTAATTAGGGTTTTAAGTTACCCCTTCCGTTTTATTCTCGTTGAAATCAGAAGATGCACTACCACCCAATCTGTTTTGTATCCATGGATCTATGTTTCTTTTTCTTTTCCCTTCAATTACGTTATAGATGTTCTTCATAGCTCACTACATGAGTAGGTGTCTATAATCTCGGGATCTCCTTCCCGGCTTTGCACATTGATTTGTATGAACTGGATCCAAATTCTTCTAAAAGACAAGATTCCTGGATGGATGATGGATGATGAATGATCTTGGCGTACTTGTTTAGGTACTTCTAGTAGGTACACCAGATTCCAGAATGATGTTTAGTTCTCACTTCTCACCTACTCTTTTTTATTAATCGTACAACCGAGTAGATATTCACCTACCATGTGTTGCAGTGTCACAATCTCCATGATTCGTGGTTTTTTTCAGGATGTTCTATGGGCCAGGTGGGCCATACGCACTGTTTGCAGGAAAAGATGCTAGCAGAGCTCTTGCAAAAATGTCATTTGAAGATAAAGATTTGAATGGTGATCTCACTGGTCTTGGTGCGTTTGAGCTTGATGCATTGCAAGATTGGGAATATAAGTTCATGAGTAAGTATGTCAAGGTCGGATCCATTAAGAACTCAGAAGCTTCAACCGCTGAGTCAACTGCAACTGACTCAGCAGCTGAACCCACTGAGTCAACTGTAGCAGAACCTGCTCATGTTTCAGAGCCCACAGAAGAAGATAAAGAGGCTAAGGAAGTGAAAGATGAGTGAAGTATTTTTATGATGGGGGTGAGGTAGGGTTTGGGTGCCTATGAATTTATAGTTGTAACTTCTATAATTAAGTATAGATTAATGACTTGAGATGATCCTACTTATTCCAAATTTGTTGTGTTTCAATAATGTGGAGTTTATGCAGAATCATGGTCCTTCTATGCTAATTGAGTAATTTCAATCTTGGATCAATCTTTTAGATTTGATGTCATCCAAACCTGTATTTTCTGTGCTGATTGTTTTTTTTAAGCAAAAATCTATACAGTTTGCCGACTACCTCTGCAACCCTCTGCAGTAAAAGAGGTGGACCTAACGATTACAGACTGTAATAAAAAACGTGTTTTTTTTTTTTTTTTTTAACATTTGTATGCTGCTGTAGATATTAAAAAATTAAAATAAACTGATTTTATAATCTAAAAATAGTTTTTTAATACCGAAAATTTAATAATGTAGAATATTTCAGCAAGAATTTACGATATTTCAGCAAAAATAATGTTATTTTAATAAAAAATAATGATATTTTAGCATATAAAATAATGATATTTAATCAACAAATTATTATTATTCAATATAAAAAAAAATATACTGAGATTTCAGAAATATATAATCAATATTTTAGCAAGAAAAGAAGAAGATATTGGAAGAAGTAGGAAGAGACAAAACAAGTGTTGCGCCAAGAAGAACACGCGTAAATGTTTTTTAATCTGAAGACTTCTGAAAACCAAACAGTTGCAAGATGAAAAGTGTGCTGCACCGTGCAACAATAAGAGGTCTGAAGAGGTTTTTCCAAAAAACAAACAGCACCTAAGCTAGCGTTTCAATTAAAGTTACAAATATATGGACTTCAATGGTTGCAACCATGCTAGCGTTTCAATTAAAGTTACAAATATATGGACTTCAATGGTTGCAACCAATTTTCTCTGAAAAGACTAAAACTAACAAATACAAGCATATATAAATGAACCGAATTGGTTTGTAAAAATTTATATTAGATAGATGCTATGGTGCATTTGGATTCAAGACCTAGCAAACTTGTAGTACGTTCAAATTCAAATGACTAAAGTCACTAAATGATCTAACTTGCATTAATATATACAAAGATAATATTTTGTTTAATTATAAAAAACACATCATAATCTATCATATTTTTGTAAATGATTCAATTATTCGATTCATTTACGAGTTATTGTTATTGTAGCACCACAGACTACTGGTTTTGTCTTTAGTTGGTCAGTGAAATTATTTAGGAGTATTATGGGTCCCTAAAATTATATATGACTTATTAAATAAGACATCGGCTATGTTTGACATTGGTTGAACGGTTGTGGTTCTTAGGTAGATGTGATTATGGGTCTTACTCTTGTCCACGCAAGAGCCACTTATCCTTAGCTTATTAAAGAGGGATCACAAACCCAAAACCATGAAGCCTTGGTAAATAACAATTGTTTCTTTGTTTCGTTGTACCTCACGGGTTAAAATTGAAGAACCCTAAATTAACCGACAAAAATGTCTTTTCCATATAGTCGAAGCTCATGGATGAACAATGATTTAGAGATTTGTGTAAAAGTAACTATTGAAATATGTTAGTCGTTGTTTTTGTTTTCATAGAGCGAAAGAAAGGATGTCATGGAGCTTCGACAATCCCCCTCGAAGGGTTTTCATTTGTCCATATCATTATTAAGTTGAGAAAAAGTGCTTTTGATGTATTGATTTGTTGTTATGTCCATATGATAAAAACCCAATTTTGTGTTTTTGTTCTTTAGTGTCGCATAAAGCATTGTGATAACTTTGAATGGCTTGATGAACCACTACTTGATGAGCACTAAAAGAACATGACAAGGAAGGTAAAGTTTGAGCTTAACACCATGGAAGAGTCGGGGTCTTGATATGACCATATTTAACGATATATTTTATGTCATTATCCTAATATATTTGAGTAAAAATGTTATATTTTAAGATATATGATACTTAATACGCTTTAAAATGTTCAATTACAGTTAAAATGAGAGTTGGAGAAACGAGCTAAAAAGACACAAAAAAGATGTTGTTGGACAGCTTGACCCTTCGTCAGTGTTTTGACCATATCTCATGACTCATAACTCCAATTGACGAGATTCAAAATGTTCTGAAAACTAGACACAATTTTGAACGACTTTTGTGTTTTGAGAAAATTCCAATTCCCACTCAACACGATGTGGTAAATGGATACTTCGCGATCGTTGAGCTAACTTGGAGAATACGGGATATCCACGAATATCACAACGTGGTGGCTATCAACCATGTCGTGATGACGTTAAGCCTAAAATTACCCTTAATGACATAACCCTAATTCGTTCCCTATTATTATAAACCTCATAGAAGCTGTTTTGAGGGTCTAGAAGGCGGTCAGAGGGCCGTTAAACTGATATGGAGCGAAGATCTAAAGGATTCGAGAGCGGATTCATGTCGAGAATCATTCAGTTTGCTTTATGATCATGATTAGTATTCCAATTGCATTCCTACTGTTTTTACTTTCTGAATTTAGGTGTTAAAACTTGTTTCTTTTGTTTGGAGTAGATAAAACTCGAATTTATGTGTTGATTTCAATGATTTTGGATTTTATTAGTTAGATTATTAATTGTGTTTAATTGATCATCACCTATCGTGTTAAAGTTATGATTTTTATTGTCTATAGCTGAGTTATGTGTATTTAAGACGACCAATCTAATTAAATTAACTTGAATCTTAATTAGATTATTGATGCAATATAGGTTATACTTATCTAGCTTCAAATTTATAAACCTAACTACTTATCTACTAATACACCTATAGGCATTGTACATATTCAATTTATAGTATAGTAAAGTAAGTTGAGTATCGAACACAGGGAACAAATTCAGTATACTAAAATAATTACTAAAAATCAATTTGAAAACAATATATAAAGAAGGGGTTTTATATGATTTTGCAAGTTCAGATTAACTTAAATCACTAAACTAAGAACGGTTGTTATCAAGGTATTAAAATCACTTCCGTTTAGTTTTGAATCCACCTTTTTCCTATAGTTACTTCTTATTTATGGATTAACAAAGTATGTTACTACAATAGATATTATTATCAGTCTTGATTAGATCTCCTAATTTTTTTTTTATCAATTCATGTGTAACGTCCCAAAAATTCAAGACATAAAAATTTTGTTTTCAGGTTAATAAATCGTTAATACATATTTTTCCCATAAAACCAAGGTAAACCTGTTTTAGCTAAACCCCATCAAATCAGAGTAATTCACAAAATGCGGAAACATGTGGTGTGTGCTCTGCAATCATCCCAAGCCCTTCAATTTGAAAATCGGAGTACCTAAAAGATAAACTGAAAACTATAAGCACAAAGCTTAGCGAGTTCCTCAAAATACCATACAACATACAACCACAAATTATCATGCGACATACATATAGTTGCCATGGGCTCCCACCATGGTCTTTATCTGATATGTCATGGGCTCCCCTCGTGGTCTATACCTGCAATGCCATGAACTCCCCCCATCGTCTGATATACAAATGCCACGGGCTCCCCTCGGGGTCTTCCATGCAAGTATCACAGAGACAACTAGCATACCACATAACATGTAATGGGCCGACATTGGTGGCTTCGACCCATGGATATAGTGAGAAGACTCACCTCGCACTATTGTATCATACAGCTTCACCATTGACTGTTGTCCGGCAGATCCCTGAACTATCAATAACAAAAAAAAAAACACCCAATTAACAATTGGGTCCCAACTCATAACCACAACTCCATGACTGGGTAAAAGGACCATTTTAGCCCTAACCTAGCCTTGTCCATATTTATGACCCAACTACAATCCGAGAGGCCCAAAGGGCCACAAATCAACCATTAGCCCAATTTTCCAAATTGAGCCCAAACCTCATACATGGCCTTGCCTTAAGGCCCACCTATTCTCTTTAGGCCCAAAACCAAAGGGTCCATAAAGGCCCACTAATGGTTCAATTTTCCAAATTAGGCCCAATTCCATATGGTCCTTACCCTATGTCCATACTTCACTTGATTACAATTCAGATTACCACAATTACCCCTTAGGACAAACTTGCTTAAAGTCATAAATCAAAAGTCAAATTCTACGGTCCAAGTTGACCTAACTCGTCAAGTTTCTCCTCCCATTGAGCAGATCGGGAAAACTCCCATCAACTCGTCGAGTTCACCAATGAACTCGCCGAGTTGATGTCACACCCCAAAATCGGAACAACAAAAACGTTTAGGGGTGGAGGACGTCATGTTTAGTATCACAAGATATGTATATGGTAAGCAAGTAATGAACAACCATTTCATTTAGAAAGAAAGTGTTTACAATGTGTGTGTTCACAAAACATAGAATTCGTAAAAAAAATAACAAAACAAGACTTGAAGCTATAATGCTTCATCTTCTAAATCCCCAGCACGAGCACTTGTCTAATAGTCTCCTGAGAATACAAGTTATTTGAAAGATTTGATCAGCAATTAAGCTGGTGAGTTCATAAGATTTTAGTGATGTGAGTAAGCTGTGAAGTGTTGTTGAAAATGTATAAGTAAAGGTGATGTAAGCTGTAAGTTCTGTTTTGAAAAGTTCTCCTGTTCCTTTAGAAAATCCTATATTTCCTACTTAAATAAAAGTTAAGTAAATTGACACTACAAGCCTTTCTATGGGTACTAAGTGGGTACAAGTTATATAAGTCTCGGAGTAAACAAACAATCGATTGTGTGTATCTGCCCTAAGTTCACAACCCAATGAGGAACAGAAAGTAAGGCAGATAGCACACATCCCATTGGTTGTTAAATCGTTGTCAAATATAACCCTGGTGTATTCATTTGTTACTCATGGAGTTAGTTGTAATGATTCCTTTATATCTAATGAAAAGTTCTTTAAGAAAACTTATATTTCTTATAGTAAAAATAGTGACCACAGTGACTACTTTTATAATAGCTTAGTTTATACTACTATATATAATCTAATATCGATTAGAAAGTTAATTGGGTGAATCTTCCCTAAGCCCACAACCCAACGAGGAACAGAAATTAAGGGAAAAATACACATTTAACTACCTATTGGATATTAGTTTTATATATAAACATGGTGTATAAACTAAGGCATTATAGAGTTACTCACCTAAAGTCTTTAAAATTGTACCAGTTTAATAAAATGGATTAAACCCTTTACTGGGAAGTTTCTAGTTTTAAATACTCAAAAGTACTGACTTTTGAAAGTATGTTTTGTACTAGAAAACCGTGCTCTGACTCTGTGTCATATAACCTGACCCATACCTGGTACTCTTATGATGACTTAATGTATACTAAGCATACATATGTATAGGATCGGGTAGATAATAGATTGGGTGAATCCATTCCAAGCCCAAAACCAAACAAGGAACAGGAAATGAAGCGGAGAGCACACATCCTATTAACTGTCAGACCTTATTGGTATATATGTATCTTGTGATGTATACATTAAGGAATCATAAGACTAGCATTATGGTCCTATCCTTTAATAGTAGCCTTCTACCAAGGAATCTTCTGATCTGCTATACCCGACTATTCCTTTGTTGATTTGTAAAAAGTATATTTTCCCTAGTTTATAACTATCTTGACTAGAAAATAGCTCAACTTTCAAGTGGTACTGTCACTTTATGAAAGTAATGGGAAAAGTAAGTACACAGATGTCGTTTATAATGACATACGGATGTACTAAATAACCTAAAAACATATTTGTTTTATTACGGTCATAATGTGAAGGCTAGAACCCCTACTAAACGCTCTCCCTGTCAAGAGATTAAGGGAACCAAACGCGGCCCCTGCAAATTCTTGCAAGCCGTGTAATTCACATTAAAGTTATATGATCATGTATACCCAATATAACTATCACCTTTTGTTTAAGACAATGAGTTAGTGATTCATTGGTATAATTAGATCATTTTTTGTGTGTTCTCATGCTATAGCAACCTAACTTGTTTGTTCTGTATGGTATTGTTATGTATCTCTTTTCTGTTTGTTTGATTCTTGCATGAACTGACTCTTTGTGTGCTTCATTGTACTAAAAGTAACGAATAGCATTCTCCTAAACTATACCTATTATAGTTTACTAATGTTCTACTTGGACTGTTATTGAAAAGACTCATTTATCTACTAAGTTATGTTTGTACTTTAAAAACGGAGTTTTGTGTAACTATAAAGTAACATAACTTTAAAGAGCTTTGAAATGTTTTGACAACTTATAAATAACATAAGTAACATTTTGAAAGATGTTTAACAACAAGCATTTACACAATTATCATTGTGTTCAACTTGTATTCCCCCCTTTAAGCAGTTAAAACAATTAAAAGATTCATCATGGGGTATGAACTCACCTGATGTGGGTGATTCAATCGGGTATGCGTGTAAGGATGAGAAGTTCCACGAATGAAGTCCTGAGACACAACAAGTCCTAAATGACATATAGGGACACATATTGACATGAATATAGTGTTTATAAACAACTATATGAGAGGAAACACCTTTCGGGACTAGGAAACACCTTGATTAAGTGTTGGAATCACAAGTGATTCATCAAATGGAAGTGAAATGGCATCTAAGGGTGTTTACGGTTTTGTAACCAACTCCACTTGAGTTTACGGTCGTAAACCCATGGGTTTATGGCCATAAACTCATGGTACTTTGACCATTTTGTGATTTGAAGTCTTACAAGTCATTCCAAGCATTCCTACTTCATG